TATATTAGGGTTGGGCATCTAAGCTATAATGCCGATCCGATACGCATCTCGATACAAAGAATACGATCCGATATATTAGCGATACATTTGTGACATATTGCGATGCAACACGATACGATTCACACCCATATCACGATACGATGCGATATTTCAGCACTAACTAATTAGATCAAGTTTATGAGATGATGTGAAAGAGGATGCTGTGCCATTGAATGAGTTTGATTATTTATAAACCAAGCAAAACCAAGACTTTTTTTACAAACTGGCTCTTCTCTCAGAGCCAGAGTGTCAGTTTACAGTAGAGGGCCATTTTAGAACATATAGCACATATTATTTAAGTATTTTCAAGATAAACAGAATGTATAAGTGCAATATATATTAAAAAAATATGTATATATTTGCACTCTTTCAACATAAATAAATTTAGCATTGCACAACAAGAATTGTGATTTAACTTTTCAACTATGAAAACAAGTTTTACAAAGATATATTTTGCCACTGATTATTTAAAACTTAAGGTTGTGAACTAGCAGTGTTATGCTGCTTTGAAACATCACTGTCACTGTAAACAACAGGCTAATAAAAATATAACAAACCAGCAATCTTCTTGCTGTGAGGTGGTCAAACTACCCACTGTGCCACCGTGACACCCAATTATTTTTATCATTATTATTATTAATATTATTATAATTAAATAAAAATTAACAGGAGGAGGTGTTTAAAACCTTCGTTCTCCGTGACACTAGGCTGAATATCTTTGCAGATGAACAATGCAATAGCATTCGTTATTGGCGTAGAGCGAGCAGAACTGTTGCGCACGGAAAAACAAACTTGCAATGCTTTTCTCACCACTTTTGGAGCTGGTTGAAGCAGTGCGAAAGCCGGGGATACAGGAACACTGGAAGATGGAGCTTTCACATCAACACCGTGGCGCCGCTTCAAGTGAGATTTCAGATTAGTCGTACTGCCCGCGTATTTTACAGATGCGCGGCACATTTTGCAAATTGCATCTGTCCTGTCATGTCGTCCATCCTTAAATCCATAATGTTGCTTGCCATACTTTAGATTTAAAACTCAGTGGGGAATAAAATGTTTGTTTTGCTTCTCGCACTTTCTGAGGGCGCTCCACTAGCTTCATCCGCACACCTGATACACTGAGTTGTAGTGTGTGCACATCCGCAAATCCGTTGCTAAGGCTTACTTTATGTAGGTCGATTAAATTATGCGCCAAAAACAGGTTGACAACACTTGTTAATAAATAAAAAATACATTCTATATTAAAAATATAAGCTGTATCTCGCAAAAATCGATGCATCTCGCAAAAACCGATGCATCTCGATTTGCTTCCAAAATTTCATTCATCCTCTGCTGCTCAACCGATGCACTCGCATCGTGCACGCGCATGACCGCGTATCGATACATATCGGTTAATCTTCCCATCCCTAATATATATATATATATACACACACACACACACAGTTGGAAATTTAATTTTAAGATTTGATGACAAATGCACCTACAGTTCTTTGTCACTGTATTATTGTTTTTTATTATCATTAATACATTTTATGACAAAATACAGTATAAAAATAGACAAAAACAATTATATTTTTTAAAAGTATAGATAGTATCAACTTAAGCACATACACTGAAATAATGCAAAAAAAAAAAAACACATACCGATAAGGGTTGGTAAATAATAATAAAAAAGTAAAAGATCATGTAGGGTGAGGCAGGGCGCAGTAGGTACACTGCAAAAAATGCTTTTCTTGCTTAGATTTTTTGTCTTGTTTCTAGTCTAAATATCTAAAATTTCTTATATCAAGAAGCATTTTCTAGGCAAGCAAAACATACTGTCTTCTTTTGAGAAATAATAGCAAAACATACTGTCTTCTTTTGAGAAATAATATGCCAATATTAAGTGAGTTTTTTCTTAAAACAAGCAAAATAATCTGCCAATAGGGTAAGCAAATTAATCTAGTTTTTTCTTTTGACGAAAG